TTCCAAATAATTAGTAGTCGGTATACGGTATACCGTCGTTTCTCTCAAAATTTTAATATACTTTTTTTTGTATATATACTTCAAACTAAAATTTATATTTCCCTTAAAAAATTAATATGTGCCTGATATACATATCATTTGATTCATTTCCCCTTCTTCTAAATAAATTTTAACGTACTATATGTTTTTTTATTTTAATATTTTTAGAATGTTGTAAAATCAAATTAAAAGTTTTATTTTGTGATCGAAGAAGTACAATTTAATAGGTTCTTCGCACTATTAGACACGGCCATTGGGGACTACGGGACTAGTAGGAATGTGCATTATTTGACCTGGACCCGGATTAACCCAAAACTTAATCAAAAGTGGGCTAGTCCGAACCGGTCCCTTTCCGGTCCGGTCTTCGATCCTCTAAAATCTGTGGGTTCTTGTTCGGTCTGATATGGTCCACCGGGTTTTGGTCCGAATCGGTGGATCGGTCAATTTTTTTTTTCTATACAATAATAGTCCCTCTGTTTCTTAAAATGCTTCATCTTTCATTTTTTATTTTTTTCTCTTTTACTTTCAATTAAAAAATTACTAATAATCTAATGATCACATCAAGGATAAAATTAGAAAGTCAGTCACAAACATACACTCATTATTTTTCTTAAAAGTCAAAATACAAATCATTTTATGAAACGGAGGACGTATAATATAACTAATGACGTTTTTTCTTATATTTTGTGATACATCTTGTCTGATCAAAGTAAACTCTATCACACAGATTAATTCAATGTTACTCGTATTTTTTTATCACAACTTTTTTTAAATAGTCAATTTAAATAAAATAGCAAGTTTATTAATGTTTTTTCTTACAAATCATGTTACAATATTTTTCAGACTAATTCAATGTTGAATTTTTGTTTTCTATCACAAAAATGAATTTTTTTTTGGGAAGATTGAAAAATATTTTTTTAAAATATTTTGGTATACTCGAAAATAACTTTGATCTGAAAGCGTATTCGCGATTCGTTAAATCTATCAAGCCGTAATTCGTGTTTTTCGTTCTTCAACGCTGTTTCGCAGCATTCTTCCTCCTAAGTTTCTAATAAAAGAGAGCGAAAATAAATTGTAATAAAAATGAGGACGGATGGAGCATGTAAGATTTGAATGTCGGATTGTGATCCACAATAGTCTAGGAAGCATCTTTGTCCTTAGTGTTATACGGAGAACTCCAGTAGTATTATCTTTGACTTTTTAATTTATACTCCGTATTTTAAACGGCATGCATTTTATACTGTTGATACTATGTTATAATATTTGAAATTTTAAATAATTGTTATTGCTACTGTTTAGTTTGTGTCAAACATTATAAATTAGAAATAGTAATACTTTTTTTACAAGTAGACATTTAAAAAAAGTAAATAGATAAAATTGATTTTTTAAAAATAATAGGCTCGAAAAATAAAACCACATGCAACTGATAGTTCCCTAGTCGTCATGGATCCCATATTCCCCATGTCCACGTACGTTTTATCATGTTGCTCCTCAAACTTAGTTCAAACAACTTATCATTTCTTGTCAAAACCCAAATTTCAATTTTTTTTTTGCAAAATTTATTACTAAAATTAATATTAATTTATAATTCAAAATAGAAGGCCGGGAAAATGAACCACTATTAAATTAATCCAAGATATAATATAATTTAAATACCACACTGCATGAAAAGGGATACTGAGTGGACATGATATCATATCTTTGAATTATATACATACATATATACAATACAATATACTCCCTCCCGTTCTAAAAACCTTTCATGTTTTAACTTTTTTAATCAAATAGTGACACTCTTTAATTTGACCATAAATTACGAAAAAACTATATTTAATTATAATAAATATTTAATATAATTAGATTCATATTTAGATATAGTTTGGATATATTAAATTTTTATACTCCCTCCGTTTGGAAAAACACTTCCCATTTGATTTGGGAGTAAAAATAAGGAAGTGTTAAATTATAGTTGATTTCCAATTTTGCCCCTGATGTGATGGGTAAAAGTAAGATGTGATAGATAGATTATTAGAGAAAAAATATGATGTGATAGGTAGGGTATGAAAAAGTAAGGGTAAAAGTGGTTTTTTAATAGAAAGGAGAAGTGTTTTGTTGGAAGTAGAAAAAATGAAAGAGGAAGTGTTTTTGAGAATGGAGGGAGTAATATTTATTCATGTGAGGTTTAATTGAAGCCTATCTCTCAAACTGCATGGCTTATTGTTCACATTCAAAACACTCGCATCAATTCAACTTTATTTATATGATTAAAAAGATAATGTACTCGCAACATGCAAATATTATATTATTATAATTATAATACGGAGTATATAATGCGCAAAATAAAACATTAAAACATGACCTGCTACAAACTGAAGTTTTGTTTGCTTGACACATGGATTCTCATCACATGGCCTCTCTTTAATTATGTAACTAATTTAATACTCCTGCTTTCCATAATTAATTTTTGTTTCAATTTAAATATTATTGTAAATTTTAAAAAATTAGTACTACTCCCTCCGTCCCAGAGTATTTGTCTACTTTTATTTTTACACACCATCCAATAGACTCCTTTAATCCATTTTATCTTGTAATTTATATATTAAAAAATTATAGAAATTATATATTAATAATCTACTCCCTCCGTCCCATGAAACATTTACCGTTTCAAAAATGGCGCGCCTTTAAAATGAGTAATTTTGGTATTATTTTCTAATTTTGCCTTTACTTTATAAAAGAGTAGGATGAGATGTGTAGAATAGATTAATCATAATTAGAAAATAGCACCAAAATTACTCATTTTAAAGGCGCGCCATTTTTTGAAACGGGAAATGTTTCATGGGACGGAGGGAGTATGTATGTTAAGAAAAATCAAACAAGATCACACATGACTATATTTAGGCTTAACATTGAGAGAATTTGATAAGTCAAAGTGCTTAGATGAACAGTTCCAAAAATCAAAAGTAGACAAAAACTGGGGACGGAGGGAGTATATCACTAAAAATTACTGCAAAATGGTACTCCCTTCAATTCATCTGCTATAAATCTTCTCAAATGATGGGTCGCGTCAGACGATGCGAGTGAAGTTTTTTTTCTGCCACCCAATCTATACATATCCAATTTAAAAATAAAATAAAATAATTCTTCCTTTACTAATAATTTTCCCCTCGACCTTTTGCCCTTCAACATTTTAATTCGCTCTCTTCTTTTTCAATTCAATTACTTATGTTTTTTTCATTTGCTGATCGATAACTAATTACCAAGAGTTATTCGCATCATGAGATAAGAGATTATCTTGACGTCTTCTACCATTAATGGGAGTTAATTTACTCCCTCCGTCCCAAAAAGATTTACACGTTCCAAAAAAATTGTGTCCCACAATTTCTTACCCATTTCTATTAAAAAATCACTTTTGCCCCTTACTTTTTCAAACCCTATGTTATATATTTTAGTGTAATTGGAAAAACTACGACCAATGGTATCCTAATAATCATCAAAGAAGTTTGGTGGTGCGGAGTGCACGCTTCATTGAGTTTGTTACGATATAAAACCCGTTACACCGGGGGTTCCAAGGGGGCAGCGCCCCCTTGGCGGGGGTTCGGGGGCAGCGCCCCCGAGCAGGGTTCAAGGGGCGGTAGCCCCTGCGGGGTCCAAGGGGCAGAGCCCCTGGCTGGGGTCGGTGCTATGTTAAAAAAAAATTCAATTAGAATTTTAATTTCGAATTTTCTTTAAAAGAAAATTCGATGGATAGGACCGAATTTTGAAGAAGAAACTTCCGCGCGAAGAGTTGCGTGCTTTGGGTAATAGCCGCCAATGGTGTCTTCTCCTTCTCACCCCTAGTCTATAAAATCCCCCTGGGCATGGTCGAATTTCGTTCGGTTTTTACACAGCAATTCTCATATTTTGTTCTTGATACTTTCGAGTTTTATCCGATTGAATTTTGGAGTGAACAACCAAAATATTCAATCTGAAAGTGTTTACACAACTCTCGATTCATCCAAGTTATCATTAATTTCCCCAACACCCTACCTATCACATCATACCTTTTTTCTAATAATCTACACATCACATCCTACTTTTACCCATCTCAAACATGTCATGGGGCTCCACACACACAANGGCATGGTCGAATTTCGTTCGGTTTTTACACAGCAATTCTCATATTTTGTTCTTGATACTTTCGAGTTTTATCCGATTGAATTTTGGAGTGAACAACCAAAATATTCAATCTGAAAGTGTTTACACAACTCTCGATTCATCCAAGTTATCATTAATTTCCCCAACACCCTACCTATCACATCATACCTTTTTTCTAATAATCTACACATCACATCCTACTTTTACCCATCACATCAAGGGTATTTTTAGAAAATCAACACAAAATTATCCCCCCTTAATTTCAACTTTAGTCAAAATGGATAACACTTTATGGGACGGAGGGAGTATTTTATTTTATCTTGAGCACTGTCAATCGAAGTCATTATGAGCAAATATTCAAAGAGTTTTAATTTTTAGGAAAAAGACTAAAATAAATTAGGTTAACTATGAATAAATATAGAGAAAGTATTAAAATAAAAGTTCATATTTCATTTTCAAAATAGGAGTTATAATGTAAATATATAATGCCAAAAAATACTATGAAGTGTCAATATACAGTATTACATTGTCATAGTGGAAACTCATATTTTGTAAATAAAAATATGGCACTCCTATATTGAAGATAATGACATGACTATGTTTTACAGTATTACATTGTTATAGTGAAAATTCAAATTTTAGGAATAAAAATATGGCACTCCTATATTGAAGATAATGATATGGCTATGTTTTACTCCTATTTTGGATGATCTTTTTTTTAAATTTCAATTTATTTATTTATTTAAGTTTATTTGTTTTAAATATGAATTTATTATATCTTTTATTCTTTTCATTTATGATCTTTTAAGAAGACTCATGTGCGTCGTCTGCATGTGGCGGAGATGCGGATGTTACGATGGATGTGTGGGAAGACAAGGTTGGATAGGATTTCGAACGAAGTTATCCGACGTCAGGTAGGCATGGCACCGGTGGAAGATAAGTTGCGGGAAGCGAGGTTGAGATGGTTTGGCCATGTGAGACGGCGGGATGCTGACGCCCCTGTACGGAGATGCGAGAGGATTACGGTTATCGGGAGAAGTAGAGGAAGGGGTAGACCTAGAAAGAATTGGAAGGAGGTGATTAAGCAGGATTTAGGACTTCTCGACCTGACTGAGGATATGACCCTAGATAGAAACATTTGGAAAACTATGATTAGAGTAGCTGGATAGGAGCTCGGTAATGTAGAGGTTGTTTTGTAGTGTGTTGTATTTGTTTGGAATCTACTGCTATTACTTGTACTTGTTGCTTGTACTTGGTACTTTATCTGTGTTATACTGTGTTCCCTTCCATATTTTTGTGCATGTGGAGTCGGGGGCCTCTTGGAAACTGCCTCCCTACTTCCGAGTATGGGCAAGGTCTGCGTACACACACCCTCCCCAGACCCTACTACTGTGGGATTCACCTGGGTTGTTGTTGTTGTTTATGATCTTTTAAATCTGGACTCACTCTCTTTTTTAACAAAGTTATGCCTTTTGATACAAAGATGTACTTTGGGTCTTCCCTTGGCCTCACAATGAATCTCTCAAAGGGATATAGCTTCCTTCATAACCCAGCTGATGACATATTTCTATTTGCTTATAAGTTATTTATAAGCTAGAAAAAATAATCAAGTAAGTCTTAGCTATTTATTTTTAAATTACTTTTTCCGTTTCTCCATTTTGACCAGATTATTTATAAAACTGTCCTTCACCATTTATGAATATTTACAAATGACTTATCTATTACTCCCTCTGTCCCAAAAAGATTTACACGTTTCAAAAAAATTGTGTCCCACAATCTCTTACCCATTTCTATTAAAAAACCACTTTTACCCCTTACTTTTTCAAACCCTATCTATCACATCATACATTTTTCCTAATAATCTACACATCACATCCTACTTTTACCCATCACATCAAGGGTATTTTGGAAGGTCAATACAAAATTATTTCTCCCTTAATTTCAACTTTAGCCAAAATGGGTAACACTTTATGGGACGGAGGGAGTATTTAATTTATTTTTCTTTCACAAAAGAATATTTGACTTATAAGTAGCTTATAAGTTAAAAATTACTTATCACCAATAAGTCAATCAATACAAATAAGAGAAACACGCAAAACATATGAGGGTATTTTTGTAACTCATTTCCTAGGGCTAATTTGAGTGTCTAGACCTATTTTTGGGTGCACACATTCTTGTGCGTGTGATGTTGGTGAAAGAGAGACGATTGAATATTTGGTAAATATTGAATGGAATAAAATGAACCAATAATTTCCAAACCATTCATAAAAAAATGTCTATTTAACTTATACACTCCCAGAAGTTATTGGTTTTCTATAGGGACGCCAATGGGACCCTTAACGTGTCATTTTTCCAACTTCGAGGTCCTAAGAATTTTAAACTTTTGTACACTATGCAAATGATGTGTCACATTTTATATATTTTTTTAATTTGATATTTATATTCGTCCATATGGCCCCCACATGATTCCATTTATCCATCACAAAAAGTTGGACAAGTCATCAAAAAAAGAACACCATCTTAATTGCTTCATTGATTATCCTAAGATTCAATTCATTGATGACTAATGAGGAGGTTAACAATCAAATATGCCTTTTGTGAGTTTGTCCTTAACAATAATCCATTTTTATTTTCATAGTTACCCTCTTTTACAACAAAATTAATCATTGTTTCCCATCATTCTCCATCGAGATTGGTTCTGATTTTAATAAATCCAAATTTGAATTGGTTCTGATTTTAATATTAATTATTACATCAGATCGGATAAATATTAGATTTGAGTTGAGTATTCATCGCTACATCATGAAATTGATGAGGCTAGGAAGAATCGTGGAATATGAAAGGATTGTCAATCTTAATTCAGATTTAATTTGTGTGAGCTGAGTTCATATTTTTTAAATTTGGATTCAGATATTAATGCATCGGATCGGTAAAGATTAGATTTCAGTTGGAATCTAAGATTTTCCAACTTCACAATCACATCTTTAACCGATGGATATCAAAATCATCCTGCTCAATTAAATTGTCTAAAATTCGAAAGAATTGATGATATTTGGATTAAATGTATCGGGTTACACGTCAGGTCAAATAAAGGTGAATATTTTTCTCACTCCGCCTGTAACTCATTCCAATTCCATCCGCTCATCCATATATTTTTATTCAAGATTTAATACCCATACTACTTCGTATATGTAAAGGAAATCAAGGGTTTTTCTGTTACATCTACAAAAAAAAAAAGTAATGATGGATGATTTAATATATCATTATTGTAAAAAAGGTATTTTATTAATGAGTGCTTCTATGATGTACATTGAGTGCATACCATCTTTGTGAACCTTTTCGGTATGCAAGCTAGCATGATGAAAATCTTGGTCTACGAGGCATTGAAATTCTAATAAAATGTTTTTAATTGATATTTTCAAAAAGATTATTGTTTGACTTAATGTAATAATTTATATCCATGGATAATATAACGACATGATGACCTAAGAAAGATTCCAAAGGAGATTATCGGAATAGTTCACGAGAGTGCTCTATTCAATGTATTTGTAAAGGGAGATATCGAGAATTAGTCTGATTATGTTAGGAATAATTCTTATGGAGTGTATGACCTTATTTGGGATAAGTCAATTATCTCAAAGTATGAAACTATTGAAGCGGACGATGACTTTGACCAAATGTGTAAGGAACATGTCAGATTATTATAACAGAAACCAGTGTTTAGTCATGGACAATCATATGTTGCGGTTTCAAAAATAACAAATCGTAATAGCTTGAAGATTCTTATTGACGATGCAGAGCATGTTTCCACAAGATGTACTACTAATGTAGTTTATAAAGAAGTTTTCCAGAATTTGTAATTTATATGATATTAATGTTTTACATAAACAAAAAACATTATATTTCATTATATGGTGTACTTATTTACTTTTATAATATAATGCCAACATAAATTTATAACGTTAATACAAATCGTGCAACGCACGGTTGTAATACTAGTACTTATCTAAGGAGTAAAGAAATACTTAATTTACTCATATATAGGTTCATGGTGGATCTTAATTAGGTCCATCATAGGATTTGGTTTTATTAATAGTACCAGTATTCTATAATATATTTTCCAAAAGAAAATCTAATGAAATGCTATTAATTAACAGAAATTAGTTTTAGGGGCTGTTTGTTTCAACCTCTTAATGGTTCAGATGTCTGAATGGTTCAGCACTTAATGGTTCAGACTGTTTGTTTCAGCCTCTTAATGGTTCAGATGTCTGAATGGTTAAGAGATTTGCCTCTGAATGGTTAAGTATTATACAGAGTCTGAATGGTTAAGACCTCTTATCTGAATTGATCAGACATTTGCCTCTGAATAGTTAAGCAATATACTAGCTCTTAATGGTTCAGACCTCTTACTGGTTCAGCACTTAATGGTTCAGACCTCTTATTGGTTCAGCACTTACCCATTCAGAAGTTGCCAAACAGCCCCTTAGANCCTCTTAATGGTTCAGATGTCTGAATGGTTAAGAGATTTGCCTCTGAATGGTTAAGTATTATACAGAGTCTGAATGGTTAAGACCTCTTATCTGAATTGATCAGACATTTGCCTCTGAATAGTTAAGCAATATACTAGCTCTTAATGGTTCAGACCTCTTACTGGTTCAGCACTTAATGGTTCAGACCTCTTATTGGTTCAGCACTTACCCATTCAGAAGTTGCCAAACAGCCCCTTAGATTCATTCGCTTTGAGCTTGTTTCACTCATGGAGTCATGGATAAGAGATAGACCGTATGGTGGATGAAAAAGAAAAAATAAGCATAGAAAATTTTCTACTCGTATTTCACAACAGGATTACCTCGATTTTTTTTAAATCATTCAAATATGTTACTTGTAAGACTTATTCAGTTTGAATTTTTTCAAACATGCTTCACTTTTTTAAAGCATTTAAAAAGGAAAACACTTAAATTAGTTTGATTTAGAAGGAAAAAATATGATGACATAATGTAATACTTAGAATTCACTAAATTTCACATCAAAGTAGTGTCAAGGAGAAAAATAAAAAACAAAAGTTGCTTCCACACTGCTGCTGGTGAGGCTCGATTCTTGGTCTCTTGTTCCAAATTTCACCCCTGAGACAGTTGAGCTGTCTATGCGGTCATTGTTCTGTTCTTTTAAACGCAACTTAGGATTGTTGAAATGCCATTCTTCATTTTTAAGTTACAAATTTGGATTTCTTCATTTTACTTGAGTTCAGTTTTAGAGATTTTTTTTAAACTCCCGATCATATATAAAATTACCAATCATTCTCTAACCATAAAAAAAACATTAAATTAATTTTGAAATAGACAAAGGAATCGCAATATAATTCAGAGATGGATGAAGAACTGCGTATCATTCTTATTCCATAAAAAAAGTTTCACATCTTTTTTGCATTGTCCCAAAAAGAGTTCTACTTTCCGCTTGTGGAGGAAACAAGTTTGTAGCTCTAATTATTGCTCTCCTGCATCATTTTTAAGCGTATAATTTTACTTTTTTTAATCTTCGTGTTAAGTTATAAAAGGTGAAAAGACTATGGAAAGAGTATTATTTACACAATCTGACCCACTCCACTTCTATGAGTTCTGTCCCAAAGAAAAACTCAAAGGGTGCAAAGTTGAGGTCAGAGAATGTTGGGCTATCCATTCAAGTTCGAAGGCCCAATATCTTATTTTAGAAAGGCTACGCATTAGTCCATGATGTTGTAACAGATACATTTCGAAAATTTTTTCTGGACTTGTTTGAAAAAAACATTAGAGATTAGCATTATGTTTTTGAAAAGACTATTTACGTGCAGTGTTTAGCATTAACATTTTCAAAATAATTTGCACTGTTAAAATTTTATAAAAAAAATGCTGAGTCGCTGACACTAATCTTTAACGCTATTCCCAAAGAGGCTCGAAATCTCATATTTAAAAACGTGTAAAGCTAGAAATGCTTATGGGTAAAAAAGGAAATCGCCCAAACCCAATATGTCCGACTCTATGGGAACTACGAAGAAAATTTGAAGACAATGATGGGTGGGATTGTTTTGGCTTCTGGGAAAATGGCTACTCCTTTATTTTCTATCTAATTCTTTCTTTCAAATCCACTTCCTTCTTGTGTGGGTTGCAACAAACGCAACCCCCCACTCCCACCCCCACCCCACACACAAGTATTTCCCCTAAAATAATTGGCGTTAAAGTTATTTCAAATATTTGTTTACATTGGGAGTTTTTCCAGTTTGTAGTTGTAGACTCAAAAAAGATTTTTTCGAAGTATATCCTAACATATTCCCTGACGTGACAGTTAGTTTCGAACTTGTAATCTCTCGATCGACAAAGTTCCCGTATGAACCAATCCAACCAAAATTTTTATAGTTGTAGGCACGAATTCTTTTTTATATTTTAGCAAAACGTTTAAAGAGAAATAATCATTTTTCATTGAAATTTTTAAAAGCAAAACCAACCATAAAAAATGAAGACAATTCTTAGCATTCTTCTCCGTATGATAATGGAGTATGATAAATTTATACGGAGTATATATAAACCAACGAATTAAGTTTTACATAGTACTACCTTCGTCCTTGAGTATTTGTTCAGTTTTGATTTTCTTCAGTCAACTATTTTCAACCTTTGACATATAATTAAGTAAAATATATATTATATGTCAATTAGATTAAATAATATTTTGAAAATATTTGATATAATAAATCTAATAAAATTATTTTTGTATCGTTATCTAATATTATTTTTATTTAATTTGAGATCAAAATTTATCATTTTTTACCAAAAAAATCAAAATGGACAAATATTCAAGGACGGAGAAGAATGTAATTAGTTTATTTACTTTTTTTTTGGATACATTAACTCTTTTAGTGTTAAATAAATAACTTTACCCTTAAAAGTTATGGAGTAGTTTAGATCTAAATTTCGTCTTTTACATTTTTAAAGGGATATGCTAGAGCGAGGGGCTGCATTCGGTGGTTTAATCTCCTTGGCCCGTTTCCTCAGCCCATAAGGGGGTCCAAGTTAACCGTGAGACTGTCGAACTATGTCTAGATAGTTGCTCGGGAGTGAGTGTTGGGTTGGCACCCCAACACCGTTCTCGCTTGGATCTATTCTACTCGTATTTGTTTGGGCCCAGCCCATTTGTGATGTAATACTTTCGTCCCGGTCTTTTTGTCTAGTTCCATTTTGGCACACAACATGAAGAAAAGAAATAAGTGGGAGATATGCCCTAATTACCCCTAGTTTTGGGTGTCAATTACAGAGTAAAGTACAATGAAGTAAAAGAGGGCTGCCTTTATGCGGATGAGGGATTGAGGTTTCCATGACGACGAAGAGGAAGAACCAGCTTGATCAAACTCTGCCGACTGCCACAATGAAGAGGTTTCACCGGAGGACTGACACGGGAGGTTTCACCAGATGATCTGCTGGGCTGACCAAGGGTTAAAAAAGAGAGAATTGAAGATGAAAGAGAAGTTAAAGAGACTTCACCCGGGGAAGTTTCACTGTACGATTTGTGGCATTCAAGAAGAGAGAGAGTGAGTGAATGTGTGTGTGGGGGGGCATGTGTGTTGAAGATGGTGACTCTTGAGGGGTAAAATGGACAATAGGGATCTTTGAGCCAAACCGAAAAATGAGAAGTGAAAAAAAAAACAGTGGACAACCAAAAAGGAAAAGTGAACAAAAACACCGAGACATAAAGAGTATATTGTATTTATAGACCTCGCCCTGCCTGAGGGGGGAGATCACGTCCACACTTATTCATTATATGGTGTACTTCTCTCTCGTTCTACTTTCTCCTCTAGACTAATGTTCTCACAATCTTTTGGGTAAATTTGTCAATTTACCATAAACGGAGCAAATTTAGTCAAAATATGAGTGGATATAGAAACAATCTTAATGAAATTATAGTGACAAAAAATGCATTGTTGGCTTGTTGCATACATAAAGTGCATTTGTGCATTAAAAAAAGTGCATTCATACCATTTCGTAAATGCACATATATAAGCACCCTTAGTTTCAAACGGCGCACTTTGTATCATAAAAATAATGCACTTTTTAATGTTTTGATGCAAAATTGGTCTAATTCTTCTATTTTAAGTTATTAATGACAAAAAAAATATCAGTGACTTACAAACAACCACGTTTGAATAAGACAATAATTTGGGAGCATTAGAATAGCAACAAAACATATATGAATGACAATATTTTGGCTCATTAAAAATGGGGTTATGAATTGGATTAACATGAGAGTAGTTCGGGATGGTGATAATGACACATCCCTCTCACATCATCACTTGGATCAATTCTATAACATAATAACAAGAAGGGAAAGGCCAGAATCACAGTACCTGGGAATGGCATCACACATTTTTGTTTTCTTTTGCTTTCTTTTTTCTTTTCTTTTTTCTTTTTTGGTTTAATCCTGGCCCTTGATTAAAGCAAAGGATATTCTTCTTCCACGAGCATCTCAGATCAATCAAATTGTCTGCACATCAATACAGCTCATCAGGTTAAAGAGGCATGCTCCCCCTTACACTGGAATTCATTCATTCAAATATCATTTTCGAAATATTCCTTGCTTCAAATGGAATCTAAGCTAATCCTAGCTGATGATCACTAAAATTTGCCAGGTCACTACCATGATGTTTTAGCAAAAGAATGCCAGGTTTCTGTCCACTTAAATGGCGTATTCCATGAGTTTTCCATTTTTCCCTTACTGTATTAAACATGTGACTTTTATTGTAAGAGTACAATAGCAATCTTAAATAGTCATCCAGATGGTGAATAGAGTTTACATAAGTGGTGTGTGAATAGCAAGACTGCAGATTTTGAACCGGTAGGGAGACACAAGATAATGTTTGAAAAGCAAGACTGCAACAATAATGGGCCCGATCAACACCAATAATGACACAGAGAGGATGCAAGGTTAAGGATGAGTTTGGGCCAAAAGCATAATCGTTACAATTTTAAGAAGTCAAATTTTATAATTAATAATATGAACTCAACTGGATAAATTTTGAACCGATTCATCCATTGCTAATGGAGATAAAAGAGTCATCATTGACAATGTTTTAGTTTTGGGCATGTAGTGGACTAAATAATAGGCACATTAAGCTTCCCTTGTGTCTTACTCTATAAAGCTTTGGGAAGTAAACAATGCATCTAGGGTCTCACGGAAACAACCTCAGTTTTACAGGGTTTAAGATTATGTGCATCTTGATCCCCCCCCCCTTACACCCAGGGATTATACTGGGTTCTTATATTATTACTTCTATATATTTAGTCTGTTGCATATTTTGGGGTAATCTTTACTACAATAAGGGGTTATAAAAAATTATTAAATTAAGAAAGAAAATAATTTTTGTGCACCAATATTTACACCACACTTTACATCATCACCAATTGTACTCACATAGACATGCACGAGAGCCTTATTTGTGCACAAAGACCAGACACCTTGTATGTGTGTGAAAGCAAAAAATCATGTTTGCACATGGTGATGTAATTATGTAAAGGGTGGGTACAAAATTAGTGAGCAAATAGCATGCCCCATATATAATCGTCATTGATGCATTGTCAAGTAATTATAATGGCTCAAATCACACAAGAAAACCACATTTCCTCTTACTCACCCTTCTTAGATCCATAAATTAGGTAAGAGAACAGGCTGGACTGATCATCACTTGAAGCATTGCAAATAAATCGGCATCTAAAACACATGATCCTGTCATCGAAGGTTAAGTCTTTAAAAAGAGGTTAAGTGCTTTAGTTACGCTGTAGAAAATGAACCCTAAAAGGGTATAACTACTGATGCCCTTTCTTTACACAAAAAGAGGAGATGCAGCAAACCTAAGAATGACCATACATTCCTATATTAAAAATGAAATAACAATGTCATTCAATAAGAACGATCACATATTAAAATCTAAAAAATGGAACTTAAAAATTAAAATACCAATACACAGAACACAAGGGAAAGAACTAAAAATTATCAGGAATGAGAGATAAGTATACTCCAAGATGAAATTATGAATAAATAAAGCACCATTTCAATTGCGTGCATTAATCTTGACCCGTGAAAAAAGAAACTATGAGCTTCTGACAGAGATAAAATGGAACACTTTTTCCTTACCAGAGTTTCAATCTTTTGAGACCCTGACAATCAAGCCACTAGGTGCCTCGACAGTTCTGAGACGACCAGATCCTATCAAATCGCGGAGATGAAATCTCATATCTAAGGGTGAAAGTCGAAGGCGTTTCTTTTCCAGAGTGACCATTGTCATCTCTTTGAATTTTTTTCTCTTGAGTAAAGATATAAGCTCATTTCTTCCCTGATGATAACAGCAAGATCAGTTCATACAGATAATGTTTGAACTAGGTCGTGTCAAAATTATCATCAATAATGAAATGTTCTAAAAAACATGAGTAATAATAATAAAAAACTAATAGGTTATCAAGTCATACTTGTGAAATCCCCTTGAGGACTGGTCCAACATTTGGAATTGCAAACCAGTACATGTTTGGATCAATAAGTTGGCCAGTCTAAAATCAGCAGAAACGGGGAGGGCATTAGTCTTCAAACATTATGAAGCTTGCAGAATATAGGTAAACCGTAATCTATAAACTCATGTAGGCAATCCCAATGTTTTGGGGTCAAGGGCTCAAGGCTTTGTGTTCTTATGAGATATCATTAAAAAAGCAGCACTTTAAATGAAAATATAGATTGATATGACTTACAAGAAGGCCTGCATTAATCAAGAGGGAGACGTGTTCATCTTCCACATTTCCCCCCAGTGAGAGAAGAGAGCACTACAAGTCAACAAATCAGCATACAGGGAGTTCACAATTTGCATGACACCGATAAAATATATGTCATGCGTAATGAAAGAAAAACATAAATAAAATATCATCATAGGGCGGTTTGAATGCATAGAGGGGAGAAATCATCATTTCATGTTTGCAGATTGCTGTAATACTCTGATCAAGTGCTTAATGGCCTGCAAGGCTGCAAGTGTTGTTACATCTAGTTTGGATTTGTTGGACTGTGTGTAGTCTACTTCTTAATGGCTTAGATAGAATGTTTAACTTTTAAAATAAATACTTCCTCTGTCCCATAAGATAGTTACCAAAGAGAAAATCACGGAGTTTAAAAAGGAAAAAAGTGACCATTGATGTGACCAAAAAGTTCAAGAAAATAGTGATTGAAAAGTGGTATGTTGAGTTTAAAAGTGATACAAAAAGTAGAAGGAAAAAAGGAGTGGTTTAAATTTAGGGGTGTAGTATTGGTTTGATGTGATATAAAGTGGAAGGTGAAAAGAAATTGTAAACTTTCTAATGGGACAACAAAAAATGGCATTGTAAACTTTCAAATGGGACGGAGGGAGTATAACATATCGTAGAATTATGAAATTTTAGGTTTAACATGATGAGTTGATGACACTCATATCCGTTTGAATTTTATTTTGAAGAGCTAAACTAAAAGCATCAAGGTAAAAGAACCTTCTACAAAAATGTTTGATGCGGGAAGAGGGAAATACCAATGTGAAAAATGCATTTGACATTGACCGAATTGCCCAAAAATCACAGCATTTTATAAGAAAATTTATGATTTATGGGTCATGCTCAATAAAAGGATCCGGTGGAATGTTAATTGATATCAATTAGCATAAACTTACGACTTTAGGAGAACATAAATAAACACCATAATATGTCAATAAACTGGTATATATTTACACAGCTTGTTATAGACTTGAAATAAAATAAAGAACGTGATCATGAACCCATATGTAATCAATTGATGTGCTCCGAAGTATATACAATAGCATAACAACTTTACATGGTTAATTAAAGAGTAGTAAAAAGGTAACTTACAAGTTCATGATGACTGATACAAGGATCCAGCTTTGAAGAAATGACGTGTGCCTTGAACCATCCAAAAACAGGAAGATTTTGTTGCTTCTTTTCTTCCACTCTCTTACTGACATGCTCAATCTAAAATAAATTGGCAACAATTTTACTTGATATGAAGCCATGAAAGTGTAACTATTAATATACAACAATAACTACTACTACTAAGCATCAATCCCAATTCAATAGGGCTGGTTACATGAACTAATATTTCTCCATTGAATTCCTCTTTCTTTTATTTATGTCATGACCATATGTTCATTAAGCCCCAACACTATGATTTCCCTCTTTACACCCTCAATCTGATTCATTATTGGTCTAACCTGGCTTCTAGTTAAAGTTTAAGGTTACAACGTTACAAGACTCCACTTCCCATATAGGGACAATTACTTCTTGACGCCCGGTGTGGTTGAACCAACACAACCAATTTTTCCTAACTTTATCTTCAATAGTGACTACATCACCTCATGATTTTCCTTGTTAGACGCATTATCTTTTTTTATCTTACCACATCGCACATCCATCGTAACATATCTCCACCATATTCATCTATTTTTCAAATCTTACTTCATTTTTCAATACCCATAAAAATACAGTTGATCTTGTAGTTGTAGTAGACCCATAAAATTTTACTTCGAGTCATAGTGATACATTTTGATTGCATCGTAATCATTTTTCTCTTTTCCATTGCAGCCGGTATTGATCCTATGCATCACATGGTCATGCAACATGCTTGGATGATACGTAGTATAGGGTTGTAAATGGATAACCGAAAATTCGACTACCGTCCGCATCCGTATCCATTTATATGAAAAATATCTGCATCCGTTAAAAGCGGTTATTGTCCGTATCTGATTAAGGATATCCGATTGCTAAACAGATACGGATTTGGTAATCACACATCCAATCCGTTTAAAATCCGCTCCGCATTGACATCCGTTTAAATAACCTTTTATCCGTGTATCCGATCCGTTATATATAGTTTTTCCTAATTTTTTGTTTTTATATTTTGTTTCTCTATTGATATCTCAAAGTATAAAATATTTTTATATATAAAATATATGTGTAGACACATAAAAATATGTGTAGACATATAAAACTATGGGTATATATGTAGTGTGTATATCTTTTTATGATATGAAGTCATTGTAGAATATCTTAAACTATAAAAAAGAAAATAATTATTCTATAAAAAATTATAGTTGATTTAATAAAATTTTGATTTAGTTTAGTTGAAAATTAAAGTATTGTTTAATTTGTTTAAAAATTTGGAAACGGATATATCCGATATCCGACCGATATCCGACGGATGCGGATACGGTTTTGATTTTCAGTATCCGTCAAGATCCGTATCCGAATTCGATATCCGACAAAAATAAACGGATACGGATTTGGTAATGGCACATCCGATCTGATTAATATCCATTTACACCCCTAACGTAGTATACACTACGCTGGACAATTATGCATGAGACTATTAAATTTAAAATGCAAGAGAATAGAAGAAAATAGGAAACACCAAAGGAAGTTATCCACAAACCTGACTCAAGTAATCATCAAACAACATAATAGCATGATCATCGCGTCCCGTATTAACCTTAAAAATGCGTACCAATTTCTCCCTCTTCAGTGACTGCTCTCGAAGATATGTAACTAAAAAATGTCAATACCAACAAGGGCAGTAAAAACCGAGGAGATACATAACAAATTCAAGATTAGATTGATCGTATGAGTCAAGATGAGCTCATTTGAACAATAATTTCCAAAATGAACATCATGGGATACTATGACACAATTCATATGACCTAAGGTCAAGCCTGTTCTACGAGTCTAGCTCAAGCTTGTTCAAGATTACAAGTTTACAAACCTACCAAGCTATCACAAATCAATAAATAAGAGCATGTTTGGCCAGACATACAAAACTTTGTGCCTGCATAACTTCTCTGATGCATTTCAACAGCCAAGAGGGAAGTAGACACCGTACCTCCAATTCCCTATCTACTTGTGTCCTGTCTTTTACACTGCTATACAACTGTGATTGCAATACAAAAGGCCGAATAGAAACCTAAAAAAACAACGCTTTGCATATTCAAATCATCAATGGAAACAATAAACACAAACTGTAATCGAGAGAAGCTAAATCCTGATTATCATATTGATTAGGGAGACGATATAAAGAATAAATCTGCAATTTGAGACGCCTATATATAAAAAGCAGCCATATCTAAGCAAAGAGAGCAACAAACAACTGAGGACCTTCTCAATGTGCGGGAACTGAGCACACATCATACGAATAGCCACAAAAGTATCGGTAAATTCCAAATTATCCTCTGTATAACGCGGTGCGGAGAAACAACTGGTTAAGCATGGGAAATCATCAAAGACGCAGAAAGATAGAGACGCAATAACGGACCGGCTGGAAGAGATTGATCGGAGACTCCTGATTCCGGCTCGCGGTGGCGTTTCCTGCTCGCCGATGCCGTCACGTCCATAGTTCCCGGCTACACCAGATCTGCGTCACAAGTCTCGTCGTCTGGTCTTTTTTATTCGTTTTGTTTAAATAGGTCAAACACGGGAAGTTGCCGATTATAGAAGAGACGGTGGGTGAGTTGACTGCTGCAGATCACTTTCCAATTTTAGGCATTTAGCAAAAAAAAAAAATGAATTCTAATATTTCTAGACTTTAATTTTTTTTTTAAATATTTGGTGAAATTTAAATAGATTTCGTAATTTATGATATCTCTAGATATATAAATCCTTCTCAAAAAAAGTTTTGATATCTTTAAAATTTGATATTTGACATTTTGTTCAACCGTCGGCCTCTCTTGTCATGTGTTGTAACCATCATCGCTCACCCAACGCCATTCATTTTCCATTGCTAATCACTTACATTTTTCACTAAAAATTATGATTTGAAATATGTTTAAACACTTTTGTTTCAGATTTCTAAATCTTTATTACTGCTAATATTTACCATAAAGTAATACTCTTTTTATCTCATCAATCAAATTATTAATAAAATAATAAGAATACGGTGTACATATCATAGCATGAGAAAAATGCTTATGTGACTTTTAAAGTATATGATATGAACTTTGAGGAGGACCTTAATGTAAAAGAGAACCCGTGCAAATATAAATTTAGGTCTTTGCAGTTTGAAAATAATTTTCATCGCGCTCTAAATCCTCTAAAGCAGAGTATTAGTTTTTAAGATGTAAACCTCCATTAAACTGCCTCGTATTGTTTTAATATTTGAAATTAAGAGACCACATATTTTGCCATAAGACTCGGCTTCAATGACATTATTTTTGAGGTAGACTCTGTTATTACTTTTAACTCTCTTTCTAATTCTAATTCTGTTGGGGGATATGCTTAGCTTAATTATTGATGACATCTTGAGCTTGAAGGACAATATTGTTTCAATTAGTTAGCCCTTTGTAAAACGGGGAAGTAATTTCCCGGCTCATCGTCTCACTAGACATAATATTGTTCTGCCTGATGCATTAAGAAAATGATGTTTCGGTTGGTCTTGTAAATAAACAATTGAGATATAAAATAGACTTCTAATATACACTGAAAAATGCCAAACAAAGATATAAAAATTGCGGAGTATGAAATACAGAGTAATTTTGAAAGAATCACTCTTTCAAGAGTTGAGGGAAAAACTCACAAACTTAAAGTTCTGATTAGTTAACTTTCATTCCACTCAGACTATTACATTGAGTATCTATACCAGCCTTAGGCACCAACTAAATCACTTTAATTTGACGGAAAATATCCTCAAATCTTGGGGATTAAAAGCTAAAGAAAACCAGGAAGGTGTCTCAAATGATCTAACTCATGGATAATACATTGTGTGTAACCTTTCCTAGTTTTCCTTTGCTTGTAATCAAGCATGCAAAAGATGACTCCCATCAAATGGTTCAATTGATAGAGCAGACACCAATTGAACATATAATTGATATAAAATGTTAAAATCTCTGCTCTTAAACACTCTCAACAGGAGTTACACTAATGGACATTACCTGAATTAAATTGCCTTGAAAAAAGGATATATTCTGATGTAGTCATTAACTCAAATGTTCTCAATACTCTGCTTGTGTGAAAATTTGTCATCCTCTTGGG